TAAACCAGTCGAATGTGGCCGTCTACCCCTCTTCTCAGATTGATAAAGGAGATCGTTAAAATCCCCTATCGCCACCCAAGGAAGATCAGATGCATCCTTAAGTGATCGTAGAAAATCCCACGACTCCCTTCTCCTCGTACTTTGAGCAAAACCATAATAGCAAGTGAGCCTCCAATGATGCCGATTCGGTAACGACACCACTAGATCAATATGATTTTGCGAATACTTGAGCAAACGTGCACTGTTATTCTTTGCCCATAAGAACCCCATACCACCCTTCTGTCTCTGACTGTCCCCACCAAAACCACACTCAAAACCAATCCTCACCCGGAGCCTCTCCACATGACTCTTACCCACCATCGTCTCCATCAAGAACACAAAATCCGGCTTCCTTTTGGACACCAGGTCCACAATCTCTCGAACTGTCCGTGGATTGCCCAAGCCACGGTAGTTCCAACTCATAATACTCATTGGGAAGGGCGGGCCTGATCAACAGGTCCCGCCAAAATAGAAGAATCAGTATCAACCAACATCACTCCCTCCTCCACCACCACATCACCCGCAACCTCCCTCTCCACACCCCTCCTTCTTTTGGGGTCCACCCGAACTCCCTCTTCCCCTTCCCCCCCAACACCACCCCTATAAACCACCGAGGGCGATCCGCCCCAAGTACCCGTAGCACCCCCCACCCTCAACACACCATGATGGCCCTCCTCCGGCGTAACAATACCCTCACCCCCCGTACGGTTCCCATGCATGCATGAAACCCGAACAGCCCCCCCCTTCCCCACGTCCAAGCCCTAACTCACGATGCCTCTGCTCCCCTTTTTGCAACCAACTTTCCCCTACCGCCTTTGCCGGTGAGTTACCCCCCGCCTTCAAACTTGCATTGAATGGATACTGCTCGGGTTTCAGACCAGACACACGAGCATCAAGACAAAATTTATTCGTATGCCCTAACTTTCCACAAAAATAACAGAACATATGCAAACGCTCGTAACGAAAATTCACCCATGTCCACGTATTATCTCGCAAAATCATCTTCATTCGTCTTTTTAGCGGTGCCGTTACCTCAACCGTGACTTTAACTCTGTAGAATTTAGTCCACGGCCTCACAAAGTTTCTTTCATCCAAACGGACAAAAAGCCCTAGATAATCACCCACCTTCTCCAAAACCTTATCCGTACGGTATCTGACCGGCAAGTCGTGTACCTGTATCCAATAATCTATCGTGTTCAAAGTTACCTGAGTTGGATGCTTGCCAGGACGCAATGGCTGACATACCAAGGTGGCATTCTCAAACGCCCAAGGTCCATTCTCCAACACATAAGCCATGTCCGTATCATGATAGAAAGTGAAAAGATATAGATTCGGTTGCACCTCGGCTACTTGTATCCCCATCAATGGCCTCCACACAGACGCCATAACCTGCCTCATCACATCAAATTTAACATTACGATCGGTCAGAAAACGGCCTACCAACTGCCAATACTGCTGCGTAAAACCCTCGGCTTCCACCGTGCCAGCCTCCTCCTCAAACCAGACACCGGTTTCCTCGTCGTCGAGCGTGATCTCCGCACAACCCTGTGTTAAGCCTTGAACATCCATTCTGCACTGTTCGTGACTAAACCTGCGCCCCCGTACTATGGCAGAAGCAGGAATTGTTTCGGCAAAACAAAACAATATTGCGAAACGGTGTAACACTGTTCCAGGAAAAAACGCCAAGCAAGAACAACAAAGAATCCACAGCGTAGCAGCACTGTTTCCGGAAAACGCCAAACAAGAAACAACAAAAATCACTGACACAGATGCGACAAAACCTTGGGGATCGATGTCTAACCAATCTCCAGCAAAGCAATATGATTAATCAGTGCACAATCATTCACCGTTGTAGAGGGATAGCCGATTGTGTAAGGAAACACATCCCTAGAAATCAGGGAGAGAGATGGAAAACCCTAGAAATCAGGGAGAGAGATGTATTATACTTTCACTTATAAATAATCATACTATTTATACTATTTCCTCACTCGGCTTCCCATTGACCAGCACCCTGTACCTGACTGTCCGTACACATAACATAATTAGTCTGACCCATTTGTCATCAAACCCTAGCCCCAGTAACATACGCTCCACAAAAGACCACTCCATCCGGTCATAGGCCTTGGCCATATCCAATTTGAGAGCTGCCCACCCTACCTGCCCTAACTGATTCCTTTGTAGATAATGGCCAACCTCAGACGCAATAATAATATTGTCCGAAATAAGCCTGCCTGGCAAAAAAGCACTCTACGACTCCGAAATAATATTATCAAGCAGTGGTTTCATACGATTAGCAATCATCTTGGCCATTACTTTATAAACCACATTGCACAAAGCAATAGGCCTGAGATCCGCAACAAACTCAGGGGCTGCCTTCTTAGGGATTAAAACAATATTTGCATCATTCAACTCTAGGGGAAAGGATGATTGAGATAAACAATTAAGCACAAAATCAGTAACATCCTTACCAACGAGATCCCAGAATGCCTGGTAGAAGCCCGGGTTCATGCCATCAGGTCCTGGCGATTTATCCTTTCCCATAGAAAACAAAGCGTGCTTCACCTCCTCAGGCTCAAACGGACGAAGCAGATCATCATTTTGCTCTCGTGTGACACGTGGTGTGAGGGTTTCCACGTGAAACACACCGGCCCCACCACTGGACTGAAATATCTGTGAATAATAATTCGTGACCAGCGAAACAAGGCTATCTCCCTCCTTCCATGTCCCATTCTCATCCTTGAGCTTCATAACAAAATTCTTCCTCTTCCGGTGCGTGGCATATTGATGGAAGAACTTTGTATTTCGTTCAGCACCCTGCAGCCAGTGCTGTTTGGCCCTTTGTTTCCAGAAAGTCTCCTCCTGCGACAGGATGGAACATAACTGACCATCCAGCTGTCTAAACTGCCCCAACGAGACTGGATCCATACGACCCCTCAAAGCATTCATATCCCGCCTTATAGAATCAATCCTGGAACCAAACTTATGAAAGTGGTCCCCTCCCCATTTCTTCAAACCCTGACCACACGTCCACAATCTTTCCTGCAACCCCATACCCTGTGTGCTCAACCATTGATTCTCCACCACCCCCCTGCAGCCCTCATCCTCCAGCCACGCATTTTCAAACGAAAACTACGCGGCCTCCGTGTAGTACCTGAGCCATAAATATCCAAAAAAAGGGTCGTATGATCCGACATCAGAGTCTGAATATTGTATAGCCTGGCTCAATTATGCATCTCCAACCAAGCTGCATCCCCCACCGCCCTATCCAACCGTTCTTCTACCCAATTCGGTGTCTCCTTACTTCGTTCCCAAGTGAAAGGGTTCCCGATCATGGGAATAGTCGTCAAACCACAATCAATTAGGGCCTCCCCAAAACCCTCCAATAAACCAGTCGGATGTGGCCGTCTACCCCTCTTCTCATATTGATAAAGGAGATCGTTAAAATCCCCTATCGCCACCCAAGGAAGATCAGATGCATCCTTAAGTGATCGCAGAAAATCCCACGACTCCCTTCTCCTCGTGCTTTGAGCAAAACCATAATAGCAAGTGAACCTCCAATGATGCCGATTCGGTAACGACACCACTAGATCAATATGATTTTGCGAATACTTGAGCAAACGTGCACTGTTATTCTTTGCCCATAAGAACCCCATACCACCCTTCTATCTCTGACTGTCCACACCAAAACCACCCTCAAAATCAATCCTCACCCGGAGCCTCTCCACATGACTCCTATCCACCATCGTCTCCATCAAGAACACAAAATCCGGCTTCCTTTTGGTCACCAGGTCCACAATCTCTCGAACTGTCCCTGGATTGCCCAAGCCACGACAGTTCCAACTCAGAATACTCATTGGGAAGGGCGGGCCTGATCAACAGGTCCCGCCAAAACAGAAGAATCAGTATCAACGAACATCACTCCCTCCTCCACCACCACATCACCCGCAACCTCCTTCTCCACACCCCTCCTTCTTTTTGGGTCCACCCGAACTCCCTCTTCCCCTTCCCCCCCCCCCCCCCCCCCCAACACCACCCCTATAAACCACCGAGGGCGATCCGCCCCAAGTACCCGTAGCACCCCCCCACCCTCAACACACCATGATGGCCCTCCTCCGGCGTAACAATACCCCAGCCCCCCGTACGGTTCCCATGCATGCATGAAACCCGAACAGCCCCCCCTTCCCCACGTCCAAGCCCTAACTCACGATGCCTCTGCTCCCCTTTTTTTTTTTTTTCTATTTATACAATATATAAAAACAAAATTCTGAAATTTTAACTTCCCCCCCAATTCCTAAAAAATCTCTCTTCCCAATAAAATATATTGATTCCTACTTTCCCATTCGTACAATAATTCTGTGTTAAAATTCTATTCTAATTTTATAAACTAGTGTAATACAATTCCTTATTGTCATCTATCTATACTATATATAAAAACAAAATCCTTAAATTTTAACTTCCCGCCCAATTCCTAAAAAATCTCCACTGCTGGAAATCTCGCGTTTTCACGGAAAACGCGATATATTGGTCGGAAACGACGTTTCCGTCCAACATACCGACCAAATTGAACGTTCGGAAAAACGCTTGTCGGAACTTTCGTCCAATTCTACTTTTTGGTCGGAAATTCCATCCAACATATAAAAATTGGACGGAAATTCTGGCGAGTGACCCACCATTTTTAAAATGTGGGAATTTCCGTCCAACTACATGTGTTGGTCGGAAATTCCGACCAATGTTGGAGGAAAACTCACATATTATATTTTGTTATTTTCCTTCCAACTGTTGGTAGGAAAATCCTAAATCATATAAAATGTTTTATTATTTTTATATTACCATAATTTTATTTATACCTGTTGTAAATAAATTATATGTCATCAACAAATTAATGGACACTAAATTTCAAATTGAAAATATATTTAAACCTCAAAATTATTTACAACAAAAATTATGGTCATGTTCATAAAAAAAAAGTCATGAAAATATATACTACTTAATTGATACTACTTAAGTATGAAAATATATACTACTAAATTGATACTACTTAAGTATGCTTGCTGCATCCAAATAAGCTTTCAAATCCGGCACTACTTCAACTACTTCAATGGCTTTGATCAACACAACCTTCTTCTTCAATGACTTTGATCAAGTGTAGACCTTCACCAAACTTACAAGTCCTTTCTCTCTTGCAACTGCAAATGATCCAGTAGCAACAAAATCATCACAAGCAACCTGAGATAAAACATTTCATCAATTAAATTTGAAATGCATCACCATCCATCAAAAGCACCCGTACATGTTAGGATATTCATGTTCTGACCAAAACTAATCACCTTTCAAACTCATGGCATCCTTGAGGGAACTGTTTTACCTTCAAGCAAGTAGTAAGAGGGACTTTTAATGGTACCAAATCTAACCATTAGGGAGAGGAACTGCAACTTGAAAAAAATAGTATAATTTAGTTCAGAATGTCTCTATTATGTAGAGTAGAGCATCTCTTATGCGTTTCGGTGAGTTCATCTCAGACAGGCAATTGTGTTGTTAATTCTTCACGCATTTAAATTATGCCATACTTAGTAGCTTCTTGTTATCTGGTGTTATTATGCTTGATATCACCTATGGGGACATGAAGTGTGTGCTTATTATACAAAAAGTCCCTTTTTATTACTTCATTTCCTAAAGAAAAGATGAAGAATAAGTCTTTGGATACATACCTGAACAGAGGCTTTTCCTTCATCCGAGATAGTAACCAAGTTTTATATGAATACCTTCAAACCAAAATGGAGACTACATGTACGCAAAAATTCCATCCACCACATCGCCCTTATACTGTCATGTCAAGAAACACCCAATATTGAAGGTAAGAAAGCTACACAAAAGGAGAATGTTTTGCCAGAATATATTGTTCAAAATTAAAAGCTTTCAATGAAAATCTAAAGCAACCAATGTAAACGTTGTCTTTCCCTCATTTTTCTCCCATGAATTCTTCTCTTGAATCCTCACTCCATACTTCCTTCTCTTTTCCCTTCACTGTCAAAACAAACAACCCAATACTCAAAATCCAAGAATGACCCATTAAAGTGTGTAAGCATAAACACTCATCTCTGAGTTAATTAACATAAATTGGGCAAACATACGGTTTGTACGAACAAGTAATAGCTACTGTCTTGTATCACATTCTAGAAGTAAAGGCATTCAAGCATGTTCAAAGAGTGGTGCAAAGAAAGGTTCTCATTAAAATGCTACTTGTAATTACTCTATTTTTTACCATCGGAACCAACTGAAACAAATTTAGGTCTATTTTAAATTATTAAGACACATACAGTCACAATCACTCCAAAACTCAACTGGGCACATTGTCATGGAAAATCCCTTACTGTTTCTCAAAAACATTAATCAAAACAAGATTGAACAATAATGATAGTAAAAGCAGTAGACAGATTTAACCGGCACAGCAGCGACCATTCTCAGTTTGTCCACATCTCCTCCATTCTCAGCGTAGATTTGAGTTGCCAGCGTAGATCCGAAACAAGACTCTCCGAAAAAGTGCTCCTTTCGTACAGATCTAAAGAATAAAGGAGGAGAGTTGAAAAATAAAAAATAAACTTACCTCTCAGTTGCGGTTTCCTGAGAAGAGAAGAGGAAGGGCAGGGCGTAATCCTTCGCGATGTTGAGCAGAGCCCGCAAGATCCGCCGCTAAATTGAACACGCGCGCGATCTGAGGAGCCACCGGCGGTCTACTGAGCTTGGACGGTGGAAGCAGTCGTGGCTGCCGACTTGTAGGTGATGGCATCCACTTACGGGAGGGGAAGTCTTCAACTTAGAAAAAGAAGAGAAAGGCTAAAATATTAAATTTTATTTAAATTTTCGTCCAACATTGTTCTTGGACGGAAAATTAAAATACTTACCCTTTTTAATTTCTACCTATCAGTCAATTTGATTTACCAACCAACACTATAAGTTGGACAGAATTTCCTTCCAACACGGGATGTTGGACGGAATTTCCGTCCAACTTTCCGTCCGCCCATCTCTAACGATAGAAAATTGAAATTTTTATTAAAATACCGACCAATATTCGGTTGGACGGAAATGTTGGTCGGAAACAGCGAGATTTCCAGCAGTGCTCTCTTCCCAATAAAATATATTGATTTCTACTTTCCCATTCGTACAATAATTCTGTGTTAAAATTCTATTCTAATATTATAAAATAGTGTAATACAATTCCTATTGTCATCTATACTATATATATAAAAACAAAATCCTGAAATTTTAACTTCCCGCCCAATTCCTAAGAAATCTCTCTTCCCAATAAAATATATTGATTTATACAATAATTATGGGTTAAAATTCTATTCTAATATTATAAAATTGTGTAATACTATTCCTATTCTATCTATACTATATATCAGTGTTGCAAAAATCGGGCCGCTGACCGTGGCGAGGAAGGTCGGAATCGGCCTCCTCCGCGGCCGCCTCGCCAGCTGAATCGGCGATTAATTTTTTTTTTTTTTTTTTTAAGTTGTAAAGTGTCAAAAGTTCGGCAAGGCATAACTTTTGACTCGGTTGTCTGTTTTGGACAAATGTTTTTTTAAAATCGCGTATTTTTTTGAGATCTATCCACCGCAAATTGTCGTAGGCGGTTTGGACCACCAATTTCTAAAAAATGCTTTATTAAATAGTTTATAAGAAAAAACTATGATAACCTTATGTTTTATTAATGAATTTTTAAATTTTTTAACTAAAAAATTGTCCCGTGCATTATTTAATAATCTCTCTTTATAATTGGTCAAATTATTTAATTATGGTAAATTTAGGAATAATTAATGATCGTAATATAAATCCTAGAAGAATATAGAATTGGAGAGTATTTAATTATTGTTATATTATTATTGTGACTCACGGAATACAATACAAAAATATTTAATTATGGTTATATTATTATTGTGCCTCACGACCATTATATACTAACATAACTACTTGAAAAGAAACTAATAATAATAATAATGTAATAATAATAATATAAGTGGTAAAAATAATATCTAAAAGTAATTAAGTGTTAATAATAATAGTAAGAATATTAACGTAAGAATTATAACATAGAATAAATCGTAATAATTAATAACTATAGTCTAAGATTAAATTTAGAATTATCAAGAAAAATAAGCAACCTCTGGTTAAATTAACTCTTAAATAATTATATATTGATTTAAATATTCTTAATATATTACAACAATTTCATTCCGCGCATCGCACGGATGAAAATACTAAGTACTAATAAAAGTTAAATATTCCACTTAATATTTAAAATTAATTTATATTTTGATATATTATAATTTAAAATATCTAAACTAATAATTACGAGTTTATAATTGGGAGGGAAAATAAGCGTTCCTTTTAACATAAGAAAGATAACAAATCCGTATCCTATATAAATGAGCACACAAAAACTTGAGCTTTATTTTGTCCAGTAGTACAGTTTGGATAGTATTGGAACACCAACGAAGAATCAAATCCAAGTTGCATATGAAAATACAAATGGGGTGATACGATCACACGTCAGAGACAGCTTCAATGCTACTTAATAATCTTATCTTATTCGGAGTTTACAGCTTGCTTTCTCCAAAATACTTATTTTAGTATGCAATCATTATTAGTCATATATACTAGCTTAAATAATAAATATCTTCCGCTCTTGGATCACCTTCTCAGATCCATGCATATAAATACCGGCCTCCATCTCAAACACAAACGCCACGCCACGCCGGGTTCATAGACAATGGCGGCCGATCAGTGTAAGGATATCGAAAAGGGTATGGTGAAAGGGGCTGGGGATGAACTACTGGAGGAGCCTTTCCTTCAAGATTATTCAAAGGCTATTGTGGATTCTGAGGATGAAGAAGAGAGTAATGGGTCGGTTTTTATGGTGGTTTTCAGTACCTGTGTGGCTGTCTGTGGCTCTTTTGAATTCGGATCTTGTGTGAGTACACTACTTTTAAGTTGTTTTTATTTCTCTTATTTTAGTTCCAGGAAGCATGCATGAGCTACCGACTTTAATTTGAACTGGAAAAACTGAACATATTAAAGGGGATTATTATTAAACTATTTGGACCTTCAAACTAATTTCTCATAATGAGAAAATAAAATAAAGTGGGAAATCTTGTTTAGCTTTAAGTTTGCTTTTTGCAGGTGGGATACTCAGCACCTACACAGTCTTCCATAAGGAATGACTTGGATTTATCAATTGCCCAGGTTTGTACTTTTTCGTTCTTGTAATTTCCTCATCTTTTAATTACATTGTAGTATAATAATGATAAGTTTTTTTTTTTTTTTTTTTTTTTTGGGTAATTTTGCAGTTTTCCACGTTTGGTTCTATTATAACCATTGGAGCAATGATTGGTGCCATTGCAAGTGGAAGAATTGCAGACCTAGTTGGTAGGAAAGGGGTATGTGAAATTTAAAATTTTCTGCAATAAATTAATAAATTAATAATTAATTAAATAAATTGGTCTTGTTTATGTTACACATACAGGCAATGAGGCTGTCTGCTGTGCTCTGTATTGCTGGCTGGCTTGCAATTTATTACGCCATGGTATGGGAGTTCCGCCTCTTTTACGAATTAAAATTTTATCTATTTCATGCAATTATTTCTAATCAATTATTGACTGATTTTTATCATTACTTTATTTCTAATTAATGTTTAAGTACTAATACACAATCCTTCTCCCCTTAACTAAAGGGATCTTGGTCCATTGATATGGGAAGGTTCTCCACTGGATTTGGCATAGGAATATTCTCTTATGTGGTAACTATTTTAAATATATTAAAACAATGTTTCCAGAAATTGAAAACTCAAGATTATTATGAGCTCTTCGTTCAGAGTAATAATGTTTAATCTTTGCCACAGGTTCCAGTATTTATAGCTGAAATTGCGCCTAAGAATCTTCGCGGCGGACTGACAACAATTAATCAGGTAAAAATAGCTTAATAATAAAATTATGATCCCTAAATATCCACTAAATACATTCGTAAGTTGTTAAATTCTTGAATTGGTGTTTGGATCTGCAGCTTATGATTGTCTGTGGCTCATCAGTTGCATTTCTACTTGGGACTGTTATGACATGGAGACATTTAGCTCTAACTGGTGAGGATTTTTACAAGAATTTAAATTTACAAAGAAATTAAAATACACAACTGATTGATGAGTATTCTTAATTTTAATTTTGTAGGAATCCTTCCATGTGTTTTATTGCTTGTTGGTCTGTTCTTCATCCCGGACTCACCTAGATGGCTGGTAAGTGTTGTTTAACATGCACTGCAGTTTGTTCTTGATGGATCTCAGCGTTGCACTATGCTTACACCTGTGGTGTAAGTCAAGTACGCCTAACCACGGAGTTCTTTAGTTATTTGGTTGTCATATCAATGTTAAAAACAATTTGTGATAAATAGGTAGACATTAACTATTTAATCACATCCCTCCTCCATGGTAAACCACAGGGCCATATCTCGAATCGAGCAGAGGCTGAACTTGGCCCACCCGGCCAATGCCCAATAGTTCTTGATCATGAAAATATTGATCAAACAATTGAGTAATTATTTGGTGATTTCAGGCAAAAGTTGGGCGTGAGAAAGATTTTGATGTAGCACTGCGTAAACTTCGTGGGAAAAATGCAGATGTTACTAAAGAAGCTGCAGAAATCCAGGCATATGTTGATACTCTGCAGAGTTTACCCAAAGCTAGAATCCTAGACTTGTTTGACTCCAAATACATTCGTGCTGTTATTGTAAGCACTCTTCTATTATCCATTTGGTTTCCTTGATTACTCTCTTCCTGATGAAGTGAGTGTAATTGAATTCTTGAACCGCATGCATTCAGATTGGTGTTGGACTAATGGTGTTCCAGCAATTTATCGGGATAAATGGTATTGGTTTCTACGCTAGCGAAACCTTTTCAGCAGCAGGTAATTGATCAGTTCAGATTTGCAACATTTTCTGTTAGTGTAGCCTTGAAGATAGATAGTATGTAGTGTTACTAACTTGTATGGATGAAAACTGCAGGACTTTCCAATGGAAATATTGGGACTATTGCCTATGCTATTATTCAGGTTTGTCAGAATTGAAATTCAAAGTTGTCAACAAAACTCAGTGATTAAGGAAGATTTTCATGCTTGAATTAAAGTTGTTTCAACATACAGGTCCCTATTACTGTGGGTGGGGCAATGTTGATGGACAGATCAGGAAGAAGACCACTTCTTATGGTAATTCAATTTACATACTTTCTCCTGGTCATGCCTAGCTCATGACAGTAAAGTTTAGTTTTTGGGTTATTCTGAAAACATATATATATTTTGTACGTGTGTATTTTTAAGGTGTCAGCAACAGGAACATTCATTGGCTGCTTTCTAACTGGAGCTTCTTTCTATCTAAAGGTATAGAACCCAGATAAACTGTACTGTCACAAATTAATTAAATAAAACCAACCCATGCATGCATGGCTATTATAATAAAATGTAATCTCGGTTCGGTTCAAAACTCCATGTTGTTTGATAATTTTCTGAATCAGGGTCAAAGTCTGTGGCTTAATCTGGTTCCAGTGTTGGCTGTATCTGGAGTACTGGTATTTCCTCTGATCTAAACCAGAGCCCCATTCAAATAGACTTAATTGTCTGGAGAGTCAATCTAAAATCTTTCATTTCATTGTGAACTAATAGATATATATAGCAGCATTCTCAATTGGAATGGGAGCAGTACCTTGGGTTATAATGTCAGAGGTATTTCATACTTACATTTCTCTCTCGCTGCGGCCTGGCCTGTTAATTAGTTAACTAACACACACTAAGGGGGCGTTTGGTTCGGGTTATCTAAGATAACCAAGGTTATATTTGGTTGGTTATATAAGATTCTTATGTTTGGTTGGAGTTATGCAACATTCCCATGGAATAAAATTTACCCTCCACATCATCTTTTTCTCTCTTTTGAAGGGAATGTGATTCCCTTAGAATTCTTAGGTATTAAAAGATTCCCTTGGCATTTTACTAACTTTGCCCTTCACTTTCCATCACATTGCTTTGTTTTTTTACCGAAAAATTAAAAAAAAAATAAAAAAATCAAAATTAACCTTTCGGTTAAAGCAAGCAAGCTAAGTTCACTTTGCTTAACATGAAAAATCAACTTTGTGGAAGCCACATTTGAATTTGTAGAAATTAAAGAATCTGTATGTATGAAGCCACGAGTCAACTTTTCGGATGAAGGAATGAAAATTAATTAATTAATTAATTATATATATATATATATATATATATATATATATATATATATATATATATATATATATATATATATATCAAATTTTGCATGGTTACATGCATTGGAATATTGAAATGCATTAAAATATATTGAGGGTATTAAAGTAAAATAATCATTATAACATAAATAACAATACTTCAACCAAACATGTTTATATTATATATCTCAGTTTTTACCAAACACAGGAATCTAACATTCCGAGTAATCTAACATTCCCAGCAATCCAACATTCCCTAAGGTAATCTGACATTCCGTGAACCAAACGGCCCCTAAAGGTTTTGAATAATATACGTCGTTTCAGATATTCCCAATTCATGTAAAGGGTGCTGCAGGAAGCTTGGTTGTTCTGGTGAACTGGGTAGGTGCATGGGCAGTGTCATACACCTTCAACTTCATGATGGAATGGAGCTCCACTGCCACATTCATGTTCTACGCCATGTTTTGCTCCCTCACAGTCCTGTTTGTGGCCAAGGTTGTGCCAGAAACCAAGGGGAAAACCCTGGAGGAAATCCAGGCAATCATCAACTCCTCAACTTGAATTTTGAAGTAGCTAGCTAGCTATCTAGTTAGAATCAAGCTACCCTCTACGTTGTTCACCCAACTGCACTAGGATCATCTATTTAAAATGGATGGATTCAAGATTTGTTGAATTGACAAGACTTCACACCCCAAATAGCAGAATAGTGATGTTATGTCAGCTTAATTAGTTGAACTGTTGCATCATATCAGTTTCTTTGTAGCTAAATAGCCATATATAGTGTAATATATTCAAATTATTTAATTATTCTTCTACTCCATTTCTCGGACTTTATACATTTGATTCCATTAATGCGGCAGACAGACAGATTAACTTAATTTTTACTATAATTCAATTTTTAATGTTAAAGAGACCAAAAAAAAAAAAAAGAAAAAAGATAACTAGTCATGCAAAGATGAAGTCTAACTTAGGTGGAGTGGCATGCGGAGGTCTAACAATCGTTATACCCTGCACCAATTTGCACATAGCACTGTGCGCCCCGCGCCTCCTAAAACGACGTCGTTTTGTTAAGTTGTGTGGGGAGTCGACACTACTCTATACGTGTATTATGTATATAATTATGTACATTATGTTATACAATTATGTATATTTTGGTATAAAATTATGTACATTATTTTATACAATTATGTATATTTTTTATACAATTATGTATATTCGAACACGCGATTTTTTTAATAGTTAAACGGTTATGTATATTCTATTATACAATTATTATGTACATTCTGATATACAATTATGTACATTTTAGTATACAATTATGTACATTTTTAAAACATGAAATTTTTTTTTTAACAAGTTAACAGCAAACACGGATAGAAAAAGCGAAATTTTCAATTTTTTTAAAAAAAATATAATACAAAACGACGTCATTTTGTACCAACAATGTGCGCCAACTGTGCACGATATAAATTGCCGTGGTCTAGAACTTTGCCTCGGTATCCTTATTTGAAATTGAGGTTTTTGGCTCATCTGTTTAGCTCAACATGTTCCTTAAACCATGAAGCATGGTAGATTAAGACTTTGTTTATCCTTGCAATACTCCCAAACTTTAATTTTGAAGTTGAACATATTGTCATATCATCGTCCTATTTATTGAGCATATAACCATTAATGTGCAATCCAACTACTAGCTTAGGCCTTAGGCTTTTAGTTGAGATGGAGCACATGCTTCAATTCTATTTATAATTTTAAGATAAAAAAAGATGTGTTATTTCCTTTGCAATTAAAAAAAAAAAAAAATATATATATATATATATATATATATATATATATATATAGATTTTGGATCCGGTGAGATCACCCTAATTAGGTGAGATCATGAGATTCGATCTTGATCATTCCTTTTTTTTTTTTTAAACGGTTAAGATTTGTGAGTTCTTTTGTTTAATTGTCACTTATATGTAATGTATTTAGGGATAGTGGAGTAATTTCCACGTGCATTAATAACTTACCGTATCAATATTTTTATCTTAATTTTCTTTCCTTGTGCGTTTCTTTTATCTTTTGTTTCGAGAATAGCATCTGAACGCCATTCTTCTCGCTAATATCGCATTCCAGCAGCTCGCAGCTAGATTCTCCATGGCTGGCTGTCTAGCTCCTCTATAAGCGGTCAAAACATCGAAAAAGTAATGCTTTCGGTGGTGATGAAGGTATTTTTTCGTACTCCATTGTTGTTCACTTCTTATTTTTCTTTTGTGGTCGATGGCATTAGGGTGCGCCGGTGGTGGCCGATGGCATTAAGGTTTTGTGTGGTGTCGTTGGGTTTGGGGGTGACGTTGGTGGGTGAGTATATGTTCGGGAGTGGGTGCACCGGTGGTGGTCGTTGGCAATTTGGTTTTTATGGATTCCGGCGAGGGTGGCGGCGTCCTGCGTGGGTGGTTTATTTCTATGTGGAGCGAGCTTTCTTCTGAGTTTATTGCCAAATCTGCCATTCTATAGTGTTTTTGTTTAGCATAGGAGTTTGCTTCCAATTTTTTGTACCTTTCATTATTGCTTAGAAACTGAATGTAAACTCTACTGCATGGCTGTTTTGAAATGAAAAATCCTTTATGGGATATCTGTTAACCTTATAATAGAGTATAGGTTTTGGCATCATCAAAAAGGGGGAAATTGTTAGGAACATATGTACTTAGATTTTGATGATACCAATGTAATTTAGACTGTAGACCCCTAACTTTTGATTCGTTTCTTTTGCCACTTTCGTCTTAGACGAAAGGTGCCATAACTCACCTTGTATTTCGTGTTAAGCTAGACAAACACACGAAACTGAGTTATGATATTTTAGTTAGGTCTACAAGGACAAAAGAAGATTGAAAGATTGAAGAAAAGCTACACCAGTCAGAGAATCCATCTCTCGGTTATGCAGCAAATGGAGAAGTACTCCTCATTGCTGCCAATTCAGACGAAAGATAAAGTCAATATTTCGTGAAGAGACTTTTAGTCTACAATCAGACTGCCAAGACAATTCCTCTTTTCAGAATTCAAGAAGAATGTTGTCTAAGTCTCAGCTGGGAAATCGTTCTAGGCATAAGTTGTCCTAAGAACAAGGTGCACATCAACCAAGATGCATTAAATGCCTTGTACCTCTTTACAAAGCTAGAAGATAAAAACTTGCAGAAGTTCTTGCCACCAACGACTACATGGTACAACCGCAATAAATGCAGCATTAAATGCAACAAGCCCTCCGGGCAATACCCACTGGCCCATCGGTTTGAAATATCATCTCCCTCCAACGGATAGATATTTCTTCTCCTATAAATACCCATCTTCTCCAATGAAGAAGATGCTGGTTTTTCACTCAACTGATTATATTCACACAAAAATCTCCTTATACAAAGTTCACTCTTCTAAGCTTTTGAAAACAAGTGATTCAAGGTGTGAAGTTTCAAAAAGAGCCATCAGATTTCATCTTCACAACCTTGAAGAAGTCTTGCATTTTCTACACGTTGATCATCCATCATTCAACCAGCTAGTCAAGACTTCAACCCGTTGGAGAATCGCGCAAATCTTTTCATCCAACCTTCAACTCTGAAGAAGACGTTGATAGAGGCGGAGTAAACTCTAGGAGTTGAAAAACCTTCCAAGTAGCTTTCCGTCTTAGTGATCAAGGAAGCTAGCTTGAAGTAGTTTGTACTAGGAGATTAGTGCAAACCCTTTCACAAGTTGTGGAAGAAGAGTGGAGTAGGCACAGTTAGCCGAACCACTATAAAAATCTCTCGTCTCTCTCTCTCTCTCTTTTTACATATCGCTTTACTTTCGTGCATTGCATATTATTTGAACCTCTAACCGAGAGTTTCTTAAGCGTAAAATAGTGCAAAGATACACTAAAATCTACTTAACAAATCCGCTGCGTAATAACCCCGAAAGGAGTTATTTCTGTAAGAATCGAATTGAGTCTATTCACCCCCCCCCCACCCCCCCCCCCCCTCTAGACTCTCCTTTCGACCCTACCGGGACCAACAATATATATATATATATATATATATATATATATATATATATATATATATATATATATATATATATATATATATATATATAGAATCGCGCAAATCTTTTCATCCAACCTTCAACTCTGAAGAAGACGTTGATAGAGGCGGAGTAAACTCTAGGAGTTGAAAAACCTTCCAAGTAGCTTCCCGTCTTAGTGATCAAGGAAGCTAGCTTGAAGTAGTTTGTACTAGGAGATTAGTGCAAACCCTTTCACAAGTTGTGGAAGAAGAGTGGAGTAGGCACAGTTAGCCGAACCACTATAAAAATCTCTCATCTCTCTTTTTACATATCGCTTTACTTTCGTGCATTGCATATTATTTGAACCTCTAACCGAGAGTTTCTTAAGCGTAAAACAGTGCAAAGATACACTAAAATCTACTTAACAAATTCGCTGCATAATAACCCCGAAAGGAGTTATTTCTGTAAGAATCGAATTGAGTCTATTCACCCTCCCCCTCCCTCTAGACTCTCCTTTCGACCCTACCGGGACCAACAATATATATATATATATATATATATATATATATATATATATATATATATATATATATATATATATATCTTCTATTATAATAAAACAGAATCTAAACAAAATATAAAATATTATATCAAAATTATTCTTTAATATCACATTTAAGAATATATTCAATACATGGAATGGAAGATGAGTATATGACGGTTGAAGACTAAACATTAATTTTAAAATGAATGCTTCTATAAACCTAAAACACTATAAATAAGTCTTCACCCTTCACAATTCATGAAACAAGTTCATGTATATGGGGAGGAGAAAGGTTGAAATGATATGACGAACTAGGCTATGGCAACAGTGCTTATGTGTCTGGAGTTAAAAATTAAAGTAGGAAAAGACTTAGAATTGAAAACATAAGATTGCACTTTTACAGGGAGCTGTGATGAATCTGTGACGATGACCTATGCTGCAAATTGGGGCTGCAAATTTGGTAATGCTCTGAACCCTTTCACTTTTTCATTACAAATTTAAGTTAAAATGAAGCAGCACATATGCTCTTTACAGAAATAAATATTAAGTAAATAAAACAGAATGTGAGAATGAAATTTCTAGATAGAAATTTAGGCAAATTTAAGTTAATATGAATCAGCACAAATCCAATTTTGTCTCATTTAATATTCTCTTTTAGTAAGGTTTCCTTTAAATGTTATCTGCCTATCATTTTAAACCTATATGAACTTATTTCTACTATTAAGATGCTATGCCAGCAAGGAAAGAAAGAAGGGGAGGATCAATTTAGTCCTTTAACCAAAGGATGTCTTTTATATGAGTTTTCTTCAACTCAGACATTGAAGAAAGGGAGAGGTGAGGCTATCAAGAAGGAGAAAATTGCATATTTAAGAATTAAATGCTACAACTCAACTATATTTATACCCAGGCAATGTGCAAAATTAACAATTTGAAGAAAACAAAAGTGGCAACTACTACGATGTCTTTTAGATGAGTTTTCTTCAATACAGACATTGAAGAAAGGGATAGTTGAGGCTATCAAGAAGGAGAAACTTGCATATTTAAGAATTAAATGCTACAGCTCAACTATATATATACCAAGGCAATGTGCAAAACGAACAATTTGAAAAAAAAACAAGTGGCAACTACTGTTACTATCAGAACAGCATCATGAGGAAATTACCAGCATCAACAGTTATAGGGGGAAGTGGAAACAACAATCAACAATCCCAAGTATTAACACAATATTACTGAAACTTCATATTCTATTGTACCTTAAACTTATTCTGTTTTGACAGAGTAGTATTTCTCTTTTAGATGCCTCTATGCATTCTCTCATTC